ATATATATATATATATATTTATTTATTTTGAAGAGATGATTAATAAGTGTACAGTGACTAGAAACATAGCAAGATTGGGTTAGTTTAATAGACTGGTCTCATATTTGGAAATAAAATGCATTTAAATGATAAAACAGGTGGCCTATCTGAACCTCATGAGTATGGTTGCACTCAGACAAAATATGATATTTAAAAGAGGAACATCAGCCCAATAATCTTGCCCAGAAATTCAATGACAATTCATGGTTGCTTAACATCACCCAAGTATTACTTTTACAAAAAAGAAATAATGATAAACTCAATTGCTTATTTAGATTTAGAAATTGTTGTCTACAAAAATCCACTATACCTCAGTCTATATCAATTCTAATAATATAGCTATCTATGTTCTATGTTCCTGGGTAGTAGTCCTACATTCTACACAAACCCGGCACGCATATGATGGAAGTGTAAATTGCTGTCAAGTTGTGAAAATATAACATGACATGGTATATAACCCAGACATTAATAAACGGTTTAACATTGAAAACCAACATGTACACATTATATTAACTTATAATATTATTGGGAAAGGAGGAAAATGGCATAACTTCCATAAAAGCATAGATGACCTACCAATATTATTCAGCTTTGCATAGAGGACCCATCCGTTGATTCAATTCAGACAGTAAAAGGGTGGGCTCTGGATCCCAAAAACTCAGAGCAAATGTATATTAAAACTTGAATGAACGAAAATATCAACAAATTTGGGAAAGACAATTTAGTGACAGTGATTACTCATCAAGATCTTTCTTGTTAGTCACAAGGTCCATTTTTTAGAGGATATTAACATGAGGTAGTTCAAGTTGAACCATTGCAGAAAGGCATGCCATGCATCCACTAATAAATTTGGTCACATCTGTCATGAACTGGAAACAATTTAAAATCATCTGTCAACAAACACGATAGTGCATATAAACAACAGCTGGAAGCCTAAAGAAATACGAGAAATCCAAAAGTTTAAAAGAAAATATGCTTTCAGAAATCTACCACAAACCTGAGAATCAAGTAAGTAAACAGCACAAACACTAAAATTTTTCCGTTTCAGATGTTCCACAAAATTCTTAAGCATTGGAACGTGTGAATAAAGTTCTATCTGACCTGCAAAACATATTACAAGGTAAAGCTGATTTATAACAACTTGTCAAGCCAACCAAAAATCATGATAAACAACCGAAAAATAGACTTCAACATTACAAAAACTGGCCCTACTACCGTTCTGTTCTAAAAGAACAAAATTAAAGTAGTTCATTATACCACCCCTTCTGATTTGGTGGCCTTGCATAAGTGTTATTGCATTTTATAACTATAACAATATTATCACCAACTCATAATCACAATATCCTCCAAAAACTTCAAACATCAAACTTCCGCTACTAAAACAAAAAAAATAAAAATAAACAAGAAAGATAGAGAAGAGAGCGTGAATACCAGGGCAATCAAAAGTTTTTGAGTGCTTGAATATAAAGGGAATCAAGAAAAAAGTCTATAAACAGGAAACAAATCATGTGTGGCAGTATTATGGAAGAGTGACAATACAAAAAATGGCAGTTACTGTACAAAATTTTACCACTATGGATTCTGAATCACATCTATTTGATATGTTTCATACACTTGTACAAATTATACAAACTTATATAATTTCAAGCGAACTGTGACCAATTGTCTTTGTGATCCTTCTATGCTTCATAATTTTTCTAGTCACATTTACCTCCTCCCACATGCCAGCCGTTGCATATATATTAGATAGAAGAACATGAACCCCACTTTGACCAGGTTCCCGCCCTGTTAGTCGTGGTTTCACTTGATTAGCAACAGACAAGTTTTCATGAATCTGACAGCCATTTAAAAGAGCACCCCATATGGCAGTATTTACTTTTACGGGCATTGTCCCCACTAATCTTTCTGCTTCTATGAAATGACCAGCCCGACTCAAAAGATCAACCATGCACACATAATGCTCTCTTTCTGGCACTATACCGTACATTTCTGTCATTTGTCTAAAATGTTTTTGAGCCTCTTTAACGAGTCCAACATGACTACATGCAAATAAAACTCCTAGGTAGGTGATGTGATCAGGAACTAGAGAACTATCCTTTTGCATTATTTGAAACATACTCAATGCTTCATTTCCACGACCATGCATGGCTAAACCATTGATCATGCTAGTCCAGATCACCACATCCTTTTGCTGCAAACTGCTAAAAATCTTCCGTGCACCTCCTAACTCACCAGTCTTGGCATACATGTCAAGAAGAGCAGTATCAAGGGCAATGTCTGTTGCAATAATGTTAGTTTTTAATAGATAAGCGTGAACAGCTTGTCCCAATGCTAGAGCACACAGATGGGCACAAACACTCAAAACACTTAGAAAAGTAGCCTTATCAGGATAAATGCCACTAGTCCACATATCAAAAAAGAGATCTATCGCCTCCTGATGCCTCTCATACTGATTGTAGGCATTGATCATACTGTTCCAAGCTACAATGTTTCTCTTGGGCATTTTGTTGAACAGTTCTCTTGCTATCTTCAAGCAACCACATTTGGCATACATATCAAGAATTGCAGTTGCAAGAATGATATTACTATTCGGTGTGGACACAAAGGGATCATAACCAGCCTTACGAATGCACTGGTGGATCCGACGTCCACTGTCAACGTCTCTGCTAAGAGCACAGGCAACCAAAGCATTCACCATAGTTATTTCATTAGGCTCGACACCCCAATGGCTCATGTCTTCAAGCACCTTCAAAGCTTCATATGGTTGATTATTGTTCACAAACCCAGCAATCAAACAAGTCCAAGCAACCACATTCGACTTGGGAATATTATCAAACACTTGCAGTCCTGACTTCATATCTGCACATGACGCATACATTTGGAGTAATCCAGTAGCAACATAGGCATTATCTTCAAACCCGGATTTCACTATGCAGCTATGAATGCATTTTCCACAATCTTGATCGGCAATTAGACAACATGCTTTGAGTGCAAATGGGAAAGTAAAGTGATTGGGGGAATACCCATCTTCTATCATTTGTCTATACACAAGCATAGACATTCTTGGATTGTGACGGTTAACAAAGCCTCGTATCATAGAGTTCCAAATGTAAACGCTAGGGGTATCAATTTGGCGAAATACCAAGTTTGCATAATTGATGTCCCCAAATTCTGAATCTACACAGAAGTCAATAAGCTTGCTCAAGGGGACTATGCACTTAATAGTTGGGGTTGTGACTATTAAACCATGCAGTTTTTTCAATTCACTTATACTTTTGCATTTTGCTAACAGAGAAAGAACGGAATTTTGGTTTATCATCCCCAACTATGCTCTAGAACAATCTGACCATGGCCTTGTAATATTAGGGGTTGTTGTGGTGCCAACTCGAGCAATAGGTAGACTGATTGCACAAAAAGCAGGACACACAGATAATTGCAGTTTTGTTAAATAGCAAATTTAAAACCTTGGTATGTGATTTAACTCAGAAAATTCTGTGAAAGCAATAGAATTACCTTGCCACTACCAGCAGGACCTATCACAAGCAATGCATAACCCATGGTAACCTTGTGAAACTGCAAGGAGGTTTCAGAAAGTACAGAAGTAATTGACTGCTCGAAAGGAAGCGAGAACTGCAACAGTAATGTAAGCAGTACACCAAACCGCAAGGGCAAACAACAAATTCACCACATCACTGTAGGCCATACACCACACACTACTACAAAACCTGAACATAGCAAAAATCAAAAGCCAAAAAGTGTAAAATACGAAAAAGAAAAAAAAATCGCTTCATTTCCACTTTGTGGTTCTCCCTAATTGTTTTTGCATTGCAAAATCCTTAGTATTAAGTATGATTGATTGCAATGCTAAGAAACAAATTAAGTTTAGTAAAAAAAAATGTAAATAAATGAGTTAATGGATTTGGATGATGATAACAAAACCTGTGAGAAGCGTGTTAGGGTTTGATTGATTGAACGGGGGAATAGCAGAGAATAGTTGTGGAATCAAAAGCCTAAAGGTCTCCTAGTAGATGGCGTGGGTGCTACTTATACCAAACCGTTGTTTAGTTTAATTTTTTTTCACGGAAAATAATAATGAAAAATAAAATAAAAATTCATTATTTCTGTGTGTTTTTATGAATATTAAATTTACAATTTACATCTTTCTATTATGTAATGTAATTTTCAAATTAATTATTTCTGTGTGCTTTATGAAAATTTATAAAAAGGAATGTTTTTAATATTTATAATGTTATTTCTTCTTATAAACCAAGCCTTCCAATACCCAGTCAACAGCAGAGCTGCCATTTATGGATGTCCAATACAAAATATCTCCAAAAAATATAACAACCTATAGACAAAATCACGAAGACCACGATACACTAGACCTAAACAAACGCAGAATCATGAACAAAATCACATGGACATTTGTAACTGTGTATCAAGAGTTGTTACTTATTATCCATGTTGAGAACTAAGTGCAAAAAATCGATGTTGACTAACATTGTGTCACCTAACTCTTATATTGTTGCGGAGTGTTTTCAATTTTCTTACATGACTAATTTACCCTTTTCATATTCCCCAATCCCAACCACATTCTTCTTCTCAAACTTGCATAAATTTACATCTTCCAACTTATTTGCCCGTCATGCGGGTCATATAAAAAATTCTTTTTTTTCATTTATAATTGTTAAAAGAAATTAACTAATATTATTCAATTTGTTACAATTTTTAAAATTTTAATAGGCTGTATAAAGACATAAAATAAAGTTTCCAAAATCATGCCAAAAAAATTAACTTTGTAAAGACTATAAGATGGTAATTATTAAATTAAAAGTAATTTATATTTTTGTAATCAAAGAATTGTCTTATTTTCATATAACTAGATATTTAGTAGTGCCTATACATTAAGAAAAGAACCAGTGAAAGAAAACATTATGAAATTTAAATTAAAAATTTTATTTTAACAAAATTTTAAATAATGATGAATTTTGATGAATTTGAAAAAGTGTTCAGAGATATAAAAATTTATAATAACACTTAACATAAGCTTATTTTAAAAAAATAAAATTATCTTTTCAATATTTAAATTTTGATACATTCAAATGCATTTATACAAAATGCATACGTGTGTTTTTTCATAGTTAATAGTAGTATATTATATTTCAGAGAAAAGGGTGTGTCATTAATTGAGAAATTCTAAACATTTAAGATTATTTGGATGAAATGAAAAATAGTAGAAAATAGGTGAAAATAAGATAATTTTAATTATTATTTTTAATTATGTTTTACTTCTATTACAACAGAATAATTCCAAACTAAAGAGATGTCAAAACATTAATTTTATTACCGATTACAAGTACATTCAATAAAACTATCCATTAATCTCCCTTCGGTTTCACAAAACTTAAAAAAAAAGAAAATATCAGTTGTAAACAAAATGTCAGTAAGCAGAACCAGTAACAGATACCTGTAATTACAATGATCTAGCCTGTTTAGGACGATATAACAATGTTCAAAAATTCCAATGACCAGGACCCAACTAATTTTTTTATCCTACCTAAACCAAATGGAGAAACCTAAAAGGAAACCCGTCATAAACATATATATACGTGCTGAATACTTCTTTCAATAATGCCATCTATGAGGATTTAGCTTATGGTTGAGTTTGAGTATGAATATAAATCATAGATTTACCTAAAAATAATCACCCCGAGAACATAGATATTCCTAAACTTGCTGCCGTAAAAGCAGCATAGATGCCTACTAGACAGAATCCCCAAAACCTAGGCACTCTGAATCTGCACCAAGTGATCACTAAGAGAGACCCCATAAGGCTTAAAAGCAGGAATACAAATGCCATCACTATACCAACGTGGAAATTAAGCTGATAAGCTCTAGGATATATATTGGCCGTCTGTATGACTAATGCACTTCCAAGGCCAACAAGCATGTTGAACATTGGTCCGGCGAAACATCCCGCCATCGCCATCGCCGGATGACCGGCTTTAGCAACTGCAACATCGGCCACAAGATCACCTACTGAATTTCCCCATGCCAGTACGGTAAGACCCAGGAGTGCTGGCGGCAGTTTGAGATGTGTGCCTATAGCTTCCAGGCAGTTCACCAGCTCTCCAGCTGTAGTAGATATCCAGAACACGCTCATCATAAATGCCATGACAACCACGGGCAGATGCTCTGTTTTTGGGGGTTCCTTTTCGATTATAAAATGAAGAAATGCAAGAGAGAAACTTGTCATGAAAACTACTGACCAGAGGGGAAAGTGAGTGTTGGGGAGGAGGAAAACTATGGAGTGATTAAATGGCATGAACGAGTTGCAGGCGTACAAGAGGGCCAGTGGACAAAGTGCAATATTGGCTGATGCATAAAATCTGCTCCATTGTGCTGGTGCTGGTGCTGGTTGAGGGATCGTCAATCTGAGGACGGCTTCCACAGGAAGCTCCCATGTTTTAGAAATCTGAGTGCATAGGGCAAGGGATGAAAAGTCAGGACTGCCTCAAGAAGAGTGATTAAGCAATATCGTAAAGAACTAGAATTAGAAACATATCCAGCAATGCATAAAACTCCCTAAACTTTGTACTCAAGAAGAATGATTGACTATATTGTGGTGAATCATTGATTTTAAGACAGAATCACATCACTCTCTGTCAGAAATACCACCCACTTAGCAAATTTATGAATGATCAATATGTTTTGTCTACATATATCTAAAACTTTCCCTATATTCTATTGAAAAAACCTCAAACACATGATTCTAATCGTATCTCGTTTCCTTCCAAATTCAGACATACTATTCTACCTCTAACTTGAGAAACATATCACATTACTAAAACTGATACATGAAAACATTGAAAAATGGCAGNAAGGGCAATGTCTGTTGCAATAATGTTAGTTTTTAATAGATAAGCGTGAACAGCTTGTCCCAATGCTAGAGCACACAGATGGGCACAAACACTCAAAACACTTAGAAAAGTAGCCTTATCAGGATAAATGCCACTAGTCCACATATCAAAAAAGAGATCTATCGCCTCCTGATGCCTCTCATACTGATTGTAGGCATTGATCATACTGTTCCAAGCTACAATGTTTCTCTTGGGCATTTTGTTGAACAGTTCTCTTGCTATCTTCAAGCAACCACATTTGGCATACATATCAAGAATTGCAGTTGCAAGAATGATATTACTATTCGGTGTGGACACAAAGGGATCATAACCAGCCTTACGAATGCACTGGTGGATCCGACGTCCACTGTCAACGTCTCTGCTAAGAGCACAGGCAACCAAAGCATTCACCATAGTTATTTCATTAGGCTCGACACCCCAATGGCTCATGTCTTCAAGCACCTTCAAAGCTTCATATGGTTGATTATTGTTCACAAACCCAGCAATCAAACAAGTCCAAGCAACCACATTCGACTTGGGAATATTATCAAACACTTGCAGTCCTGACTTCATATCTGCACATGACGCATACATTTGGAGTAATCCAGTAGCAACATAGGCATTATCTTCAAACCCGGATTTCACTATGCAGCTATGAATGCATTTTCCACAATCTTGATCGGCAATTAGACAACATGCTTTGAGTGCAAATGGGAAAGTAAAGTGATTGGGGGAATACCCATCTTCTATCATTTGTCTATACACAAGCATAGACATTCTTGGATTGTGACGGTTAACAAAGCCTCGTATCATAGAGTTCCAAATGTAAACGCTAGGGGTATCAATTTGGCGAAATACCAAGTTTGCATAATTGATGTCCCCAAATTCTGAATCTACACAGAAGTCAATAAGCTTGCTCAAGGGGACTATGCACTTAATAGTTGGGGTTGTGACTATTAAACCATGCAGTTTTTTCAATTCACTTATACTTTTGCATTTTGCTAACAGAGAAAGAACGGAATTTTGGTTTATCATCCCCAACTATGCTCTAGAACAATCTGACCATGGCCTTGTAATATTAGGGGTTGTTGTGGTGCCAACTCGAGCAATAGGTAGACTGATTGCACAAAAAGCAGGACACACAGATAATTGCAGTTTTGTTAAATAGCAAATTTAAAACCTTGGTATGTGATTTAACTCAGAAAATTCTGTGAAAGCAATAGAATTACCTTGCCACTACCAGCAGGACCTATCACAAGCAATGCATAACCCATGGTAACCTTATGAAACAGCAAGGAGGTTTCAGAAAGTACAGAAGTAATTGACTGCTCGAAAGGAAGCGAGAACTGCAACAGTAATGTAAGCAGTACACCAAACCGCAAGGGCAAACAACAAATTCACCACATCACTGTAGGCCATACACCACACACTACTACAAAACCTGAACATAGCAAAAATCAAAAGCCAAAAAGTGTAAAATACGAAAAAGAAAAAAAAATCGCTTCATTTCCACTTTGTGGTTCTCCCTAATTGTTTTTGCATTGCAAAATCCTTAGTATTAAGTATGATTGATTGCAATGCTAAGAAACAAATTAAGTTTAGTAAAAAAAAATGTAAATAAATGAGTTAATGGATTTGGATGATGATAACAAAACCTGTGAGAAGCGTGTTAGGGTTTGATTGATTGAACGGGGGAATAGCAGAGAATAGTTGTGGAATCAAAAGCCTAAAGGTCTCCTAGTAGATGGCGTGGGTGCTACTTATACCAAACCGTTGTTTAGTTTAATTTTTTTTCACGGAAAATAATAATGAAAAATAAAATAAAAATTCATTATTTCTGTGTGTTTTTATGAATATTAAATTTACAATTTACATCTTTCTATTATGTAATGTAATTTTCAAATTAATTATTTCTGTGTGCTTTATGAAAATTTATAAAAAGGAATGTTTTTAATATTTATAATGTTATTTCTTCTTATAAACCAAGCCTTCCAATACCCAGTCAACAGCAGAGCTGCCATTTATGGATGTCCAATACAAAATATCTCCAAAAAATATAACAACCTATAGACAAAATCACGAAGACCACGATACACTAGACCTAAACAAACGCAGAATCATGAACAAAATCACATGGACATTTGTAACTGTGTATCAAGAGTTGTTACTTATTATCCATGTTGAGAACTAAGTGCAAAAAATCGATGTTGACTAACATTGTGTCACCTAACTCTTATATTGTTGCGGAGTGTTTTCAATTTTCTTACATGACTAATTTACCCTTTTCATATTCCCCAATCCCAACCACATTCTTCTTCTCAAACTTGCATAAATTTACATCTTCCAACTTATTTGCCCGTCATGCGGGTCATATAAAAAATTCTTTTTTTTCATTTATAATTGTTAAAAGAAATTAACTAATATTATTCAATTTGTTACAATTTTTAAAATTTTAATAGGCTGTATAAAGACATAAAATAAAGTTTCCAAAATCATGCCAAAAAAATTAACTTTGTAAAGACTATAAGATGGTAATTATTAAATTAAAAGTAATTTATATTTTTGTAATCAAAGAATTGTCTTATTTTCATATAACTAGATATTTAGTAGTGCCTATACATTAAGAAAAGAACCAGTGAAAGAAAACATTATGAAATTTAAATTAAAAATTTTATTTTAACAAAATTTTAAATAATGATGAATTTTGATGAATTTGAAAAAGTGTTCAGAGATATAAAAATTTATAATAACACTTAACATAAGCTTATTTTAAAAAAATAAAATTATCTTTTCAATATTTAAATTTTGATACATTCAAATGCATTTATACAAAATGCATACGTGTGTTTTTTCATAGTTAATAGTAGTATATTATATTTCAGAGAAAAGGGTGTGTCATTAATTGAGAAATTCTAAACATTTAAGATTATTTGGATGAAATGAAAAATAGTAGAAAATAGGTGAAAATAAGATAATTTTAATTATTATTTTTAATTATGTTTTACTTCTATTACAACAGAATAATTCCAAACTAAAGAGATGTCAAAACATTAATTTTATTACCGATTACAAGTACATTCAATAAAACTATCCATTAATCTCCCTTCGGTTTCACAAAACTTAAAAAAAAAGAAAATATCAGTTGTAAACAAAATGTCAGTAAGCAGAACCAGTAACAGATACCTGTAATTACAATGATCTAGCCTGTTTAGGACGATATAACAATGTTCAAAAATTCCAATGACCAGGACCCAACTAATTTTTTTATCCTACCTAAACCAAATGGAGAAACCTAAAAGGAAACCCGTCATAAACATATATATACGTGCTGAATACTTCTTTCAATAATGCCATCTATGAGGATTTAGCTTATGGTTGAGTTTGAGTATGAATATAAATCATAGATTTACCTAAAAATAATCACCCCGAGAACATAGATATTCCTAAACTTGCTGCCGTAAAAGCAGCATAGATGCCTACTAGACAGAATCCCCAAAACCTAGGCACTCTGAATCTGCACCAAGTGATCACTAAGAGAGACCCCATAAGGCTTAAAAGCAGGAATACAAATGCCATCACTATACCAACGTGGAAATTAAGCTGATAAGCTCTAGGATATATATTGGCCGTCTGTATGACTAATGCACTTCCAAGGCCAACAAGCATGTTGAACATTGGTCCGGCGAAACATCCCGCCATCGCCATCGCCGGATGACCGGCTTTAGCAACTGCAACATCGGCCACAAGATCACCTACTGAATTTCCCCATGCCAGTACGGTAAGACCCAGGAGTGCTGGCGGCAGTTTGAGATGTGTGCCTATAGCTTCCAGGCAGTTCACCAGCTCTCCAGCTGTAGTAGATATCCAGAACACGCTCATCATAAATGCCATGACAACCACGGGCAGATGCTCTGTTTTTGGGGGTTCCTTTTCGATTATAAAATGAAGAAATGCAAGAGAGAAACTTGTCATGAAAACTACTGACCAGAGGGGAAAGTGAGTGTTGGGGAGGAGGAAAACTATGGAGTGATTAAATGGCATGAACGAGTTGCAGGCGTACAAGAGGGCCAGTGGACAAAGTGCAATATTGGCTGATGCATAAAATCTGCTCCATTGTGCTGGTGCTGGTGCTGGTTGAGGGATCGTCAATCTGAGGACGGCTTCCACAGGAAGCTCCCATGTTTTAGAAATCTGAGTGCATAGGGCAAGGGATGAAAAGTCAGGACTGCCTCAAGAAGAGTGATTAAGCAATATCGTAAAGAACTAGAATTAGAAACATATCCAGCAATGCATAAAACTCCCTAAACTTTGTACTCAAGAAGAATGATTGACTATATTGTGGTGAATCATTGATTTTAAGACAGAATCACATCACTCTCTGTCAGAAATACCACCCACTTAGCAAATTTATGAATGATCAATATGTTTTGTCTACATATATCTAAAACTTTCCCTATATTCTATTGAAAAAACCTCAAACACATGATTCTAATCGTATCTCGTTTCCTTCCAAATTCAGACATACTATTCTACCTCTAACTTGAGAAACATATCACATTACTAAAACTGATACATGAAAACATTGAAAAATGGCAGGCAATATGCTAAAAGTGAGTATTTTAACGATGCAACAAATTTAGTCGCAGCATATTACAGATGCAGAAGTGTTTACTACATCAAAGACAAAAACTAGAAAGGAACCTTAAAAGTAATAAAGTAGTTCAATTTCAACTGCCTTGCTAGGACGGAAAGATCATATACCCATGTGCGTACATACGCGAAATTGAAACCACTACAGTAACAACAACAACGTACCAATCGAAACGCTCCACGCACTCCAGAAGCGCGTTTGTCTCCCTCGACTGATCTAGAAACCACAGCGTCAGGATCCGATGCCAACTGTCCCTCGAGATACGCGGAACTCTTTTGACGCGATCTGCCATCCCCAAATCCATGTAGAAGACAAACCCTACGAAGAACAAGTAGAAGGCAACGAAGCCGACGGCCTGCCAAAGGAAAATCTCCGCGCTAAGGTATACGTAGAAGAGGAACATTGCAGCGGTGAGGTAGAAGAGAACATCCCTAACGAAAGGCGCGGGATCAACGGAGAAGGGCGCGGCGTAGATGGCGACGAAGCCCACGACGAGGTCGGAGACGAAGGTGCCGGCAGAGAGTATAGCGCCGAAGCCAGTGCGGTACTGGCCGGCGCAGAGGGCTGCGAGTGAGGAGAAGACGTCGGGAGCACCGTTGCCGAGGGAGAGAAGCGTGACGGCGGCCATGCTGGGGGAGAGGGCGAGGTGGGAGGCGAGTTTGGTGGTGACGAGGGAGAAGTGGTCCTGGGCGGTGGTGATGAGGATGTAGAAGTGGAGGAGGAGGAATAGGGAGAGGATGGGAATGGAGAGAGCGGTGTGTTGTGGGAAGAAACATTGGTATTTGAGGATTCCATTGGATTTGGCAGCACACGGTGAGGGAGCGAGGAGGAGTGACCTCCGTGGTGTGGAAATGGGAGAAGGAGGGTTTATTGAGAAGAAGAAGAATACGAGAAGAATGAGAGTTGTGGTTAGGATTATTGAAAGTGAAGGTTTTGGTTTTGGTTTCAATCTCAACCATGGCAGCGCCATTCCTGCAGTGTCTTCTTTCTCGGCGCCTCCGCCATCTCAGTCATCACCCTCGCCACTCCATGGGACCCACCCTGTGCTCCGCGTTTCTTCGTTTAACCATAACACCACTGTCAATAATAATACTCTACTCAATATCCGAAATTAGGTACTGCTCCACCCGTTCAATCTATATCAATTATTCAATTATTTATAAACATGTTCACATCATAATTTAATAATATTAAAAGCTAAAAATAATACCATTTTAACATTCATTATAAATAAAATAATTCGTAACATTCTTTAAAATTATAGGTTTCTTAATAAATTCTTTCAAAGAAAAAAATCAATAAAACATTTAAATAATAATTAGAAAATTTCTTTCGAATATTGTAAACCAGTTTTGGAAGGATTGCCAATTTTTGATGGGAAGAATTTCACTCTTTTCCCCGGTGTGCAATGTCTAAGTGGTTTCAACAGCTAAAGGGTTCATTGTAGCATAGTATTTTTTTTTTCTTGGAGAAATGAAAATGGTTCAGACCAATCCAGAAAGCAAACTTGGGATGTTTCAGTGTTCATTCAAGCGCAATTGATTTCACTTTCCAAAGCACAAATTCCCTTCCTCATTCTAGTTCTTTGAACTAACCTTCTATATCCGTCATAAAAAAGGGTTTAACGTTACAACAAAAAAAAATAATATGACGAGGCATCATCTATACTCCGCAGGCAATCGGTAACCCGACATGACTATTTTATCTGCAGACATTTTGCCAGTCTTTGGCATAACATGCCAATGCATGGTAAGGTTATATTCTTTGCCACGCAAATTGCTTCCCTGGACATATGAAATAATAGAAAAGTTAAGTCCTAAAGAAACCGGAAGCAAATCATAGCAGTGAAAAACATCATTCTAGAGTTGCATACCTGGTCAATGAATCGGTACTTATTTGATGTGTGAATCCAAAACTTCGCATGCTCTTTAGAGGGAATGATACCATCCCATAGGGATATCTGTAAAATGGCAAATTAAGAACCTTAGTAACATGCATGCACGACACAAGGATGGCAGAGATGCACCATAATATGCAAAGCCACGGCTATCTGGGTGATATGAATAGTATTAAAAAACTCTGACTAGAAAACATATATCAGTAAAACAGAATAGTCATGTTATGTATGAATCCAAAACTTCCCCTGGTCTTTAGAGTGAATGACACCAACCCATAGAGATATCTGCAAAATGGCATTTCAAGAACCTATGCAACATACATGACACAACACTTACCAAAGATGGCAGAGATGCAGCATAATATGCAAAGCCGCAGCTATCAGAGTGATGTGATTTGTATAAATAAATTCTGAAGCCACCGCCTCACTAATAAAAATTCAAGATCCTTTAATGCACCAGTTACCATGGCTTGCTTTTATTCTTTCTTTTATAAATACAAGCTAGCAAACTTACAATTTAAATGATTATATTTCAGATGTAGATTCAAACAAACCAAACAATTCAAACCTGATTCAAGGAATGCTTCGGTGTTTCATACTCAGCAGCTAGAAAAACAAAAACCTGCAACCATACAAAAATAACAGAACTAAATCACTGGACAGCACCGAAATTTGTAGCCTTGACACAGTTTATCTAGAATAATTGATTGGAAATAAGGATCTCATAGGTGTGTCATTAAGCAGCTTGAACAGACAAAAAGAAAAAGCAATGGGAAAGAATATAAATTAATATTCCGCGACATGAAACAAGATATGTTGGAAGATATCAAAGAGCAAACAAACACATTTGTTTTAGCTTATTTCACGAAATAGTCACTTTTTCCCCAAAAGCAATTTAATTCATTCTTCACTGTCATACGAAGATCATCCATAATTTTCAGAGTCAAAGGGAGAAAGGCAAAAATTAATTATAATGAAAATTTCAAATTAAAGATAGAAACCTGTTTTGTGTTCCAAGTGAAAAGGGACTGTAAATCTGCGGATATATTCAGTGTCATGCTGACCTGCAGGAATAAAAACGCCTCCACTTCAGATTGAATAATGAATAATGACCTTTAAATGACAGAGAAAATTATTACAAAAGCTGTTTTTTTTTTTTTGACAAACTATGGCATCCAACGTCATAATATTACATATGCAGCATACAGGGCATGAGCACGAAACATGAATTTGGTAAAACTAGATCTTCTTCTAGGAAAAAAGCACAATACAGTTATAAGTTTTACCATGCCAGGCTAGTCTAAATAGCACAATATACCTTAAAAGCTTTAAACAATCCCAGATTGATATGTAAAATTATGGTTCGTGTATGGTTGATAGTCTTGGGATTTGGAACAATAGAAACTTTAAATAATTGAGCTATTTGTAATCAATTTGAGCTTGACCCGCTAAAAATGACCAAACTCAAACTTTACCCTAATACTTCATCATCTTATAACATAAAAATCTCTACTAAAAAGCAAATTGGTAAACTTCAAAACTCATTGTGAATCGATCGGATAGAGGAAAAGCAACTATTCATGCTAAAAAAGAACAAGAAAAATGAAACACAGACTTCATATTTTTAAAAAGTCAAGCGTAAGATTTAATTTGCCTCTATCTCTATTTCGCAAGTACGGTCACAGCTTCAAGTGCTCAGTTTTGCTCATATATAAATACTAGGCACCTTAGATTCGTGGAATTAATTTACTACTTTCATTTCATCTGTGTTTGATTGTTCAAACTCTTTCTTTCCTATGTGACATAACAAACAATCTACAAATAAAAAGTATCCTGTATGCCATGTTTTAGCAGTCATTATATATTTTGGTTGTTTGTTACCGCGACGACAACCATAAACTGAAATTGCAGAATAAACTGTCTAAGCATCAATATTAATACCGAGTTCGCAACCGCGGAAAGATAAAACAGAAATAAATATCATCTACTGGACAATTATGAGTTTAATTTTGAAAGAAGGCGAAGTGCAAAGATCTCAATGGTTTTTTTACTTGTGGGTCAAATAGAAATCAGTAATCACCCTAAGTATAACTTTTAAAACGAATGAGCAATTTTTCAGTCACATCGCAATCCATAGAATAAATGAAAACCAAAAAAAAATTGCAACTTTAAACACGATCCTAAATCTGAAAGACATTCCAGAGAAGAAAGTGGGAACGAAGAAACCCAACAGACCTAGCCACCAGCCAGGATGTTGTTTTGATTAGGAAAAGAAAATGACTTACCTCGTCATTGCCGTTGGGCTGTTTCTGAAACCAGTTGATATTGAGTACCTGCATCCAGGAAAGCAAAAAAGGGGATAAAAGAATTGGCGAATTGCAGATCCACAAAAGTGAAATTATAGAGACACACTCAGAGAGAGAGATAGAGAGGGACCTGGACTTGCGCAGAGGGAGTGGGGGTGTTGAAGTTGTCGGATAGAGAGGCCATGGCGCACATAAGAGCAAGAATTGTTATGGCAAAGGTTAGTAACGCGTTGGCTCTGTACCCGAACGAATGCATTTTCAAGGTTTCTTTGTTTCTTCCTCTTCGACTGCGCTCTGTGTGTTTGATCAAAAGACTGAGAGAGAGAGAGAGAGAGAGAGAGAGAGAGAGAGAGAGAGAGAGAGGACTAGTTGACTGTTCTGAGCAGACAAGGAAACGTTTTGGAGCGTTTATTTTTCGGTGTTTTGGCATTGGATCAAACACGCACTCACTCCTCCGAACCACGCACACAAATCTTTTGCCACCAATTATACAGTGCCACGTCAATAAAAGTTCCACATCAGCATTCTCTTAGAACTAATTGAGACCCTAACTCCATTAAGGTCATTTTAATGTTCTTAATTGACTTTTTTAAGTCTAAATTACACAACAATAGAAGTTAGACTATAAAAAAAATTATTCCATAATAATAAGTCTTGCTGTGATGGTTTCAAAATATTTAAAAAATAATTATAAATTATATATTCTGAAACGTATTTTCGTAAATAGTATAATCTATAATCTTTTAATTCTTTTCTAATACCATGAAGTGATTTCTTTTTTTTAAGACGATATTTTGATATACACAAAATTTTTATATTTATTTAATATTATTTATTTTTTTACTGTTTTTTAAAATACAAAAATTTATTTTTTATTATTATTTTATCTTTTTAATGTATGCCAAATGAATATAAAAATGATTACGAAATCACTGTATCTGATTAATCGGCAAACAAAACAGGTAAAAACAACAACATCAGTTCCTGAGAGAACAAACAAGAGTTTTTATTCTGAGTTTACTTTATTAGTGCTTATTTCCTTGTAAAAATAAGCATATGTAAAAACTTAAACTTTCTAGTCTCTCAGGCATTAACAAAGTTGAAGAGATCCCCACATTTCACCCCAAGCGAGCTCAGTGGGGAAGTGCTAAAGCCAACCCTTGATTTTGCAAGGTCGAACACCACCAGATTCTCTTCCAATTGCCGTGCTCCTATGGTGATTTCAGCGCTAGGTTGCATTCCACCATTCACAACAGCCAAACATGACACCCCGGGTTGTGTCTGCACAGTCAAATCCTCTCCAGAAATTCTCCAAACAGGACCATTAGGCTTCTCCATCACAAGCTCCACGCTAGGATATTCACTGATGTTTTTGGAGTGAAAACACAGCTCAAATGGTGCCACAGCTTTCACTTGAGCTTGCTTTGGAAGCTGCTGAGCAAACACTTGAACGAAAGACATATAAAGAGATTGCTGCAGAACCATGTGAGGAGTTGAGGTGCTAATCATGGTTCCTCCAGAATGTCCTACTGTGGTTGATGATATCTTGCTCACTGGGGTCACGCTGTACTGGTTGATTCTTATGGAGTTGACTCTCACATTGTACTCTCCTTGTGGGGTGATGGTTAACGGCGTGTAAGCCAAATCATGGAAAATAGCGTGGCCGTGAAACTCACGCAAATTGTTTGGTGCATCTCCAAAGATGATAGCACCCTTGGAAGATGAAGAGTAGCGAGAGAGGCAGGTGGTGAATTGGCGTTGCAGGCCAAAGTGAGAAGCAAGTTGGTTTGGAAGAGAAATAGGTGCATGTCCTAAGCCAGCTACTCCTTCGATGTTTCTTGGAAGACCCTTTTGGAGAAGGAAAGAAGGTGCACAAGAAAAGAGGAACTGAGGGACTGTGAACAGTTCACCAAGTTGGGTTCCTAGAGAGATGTGGATTGCGAGTACATCTTGGCCTAGTTCACCCAAACCGTTTTGTTGGGTGACAGGGTTGGTGGACATGAGACCACATGTGTTTTTGTGGCACCCTGGCCTTGATGCTGCTGGGCAACTGAGGCATTGGTTTGTGTTGGCTCTGAAGCACTGTGCAGAGTGACAGAAGGGTGCTTCGTAGGTTTTGGATGAGTAATGTTGCTCACAGTTGAGCCACACCTGGTTTCCGTTGAGGTCCACTAGGACTGGTACTTGTGTTAGAGGTGTTCTTTTGAGAAGGTTGGTCCAATGGAGACCAGTGGAAGCATCTTTTTGAGTAGGTAGAACAAGCAGGTATGCAGGATTCATAACATAATTGGACTCAGATAGTGAGAAAAGAAACGAGCAAGAAAGAGAGAGGACTAAAAAGTAGAGGATAGAAGCCATTACTAGTACAGTCTAAAAGGGATGCAAGGTTGGAATAACAGATGATAATGTATGTTACTGTATTAGTGAGCTGAAATTTATAGAGAAAGGACCATATAACCTTTTGGATGGAGGTGACTATGGGGAAAAACATTATGGCAGGGAGATTCTCTTTTCTTTTGGCAGTGTTGATCACAGAGCCAGTCACTAAATTGGAGCTGTTTGATGTGAATTTCAAGGAGATTAACCTTATCAGTAAGAACGACAGAAGAAACAAAAAGGATATGGTGAGTGAGAGGGTACTTGGCAGCTGAAAAGAATGCTTATGCTTAGTTGCATGCATTCAGTGTTTAGTTATGTAAAAGAGCCGTGTGAGTTGGTGCTGCCTTGTTGCGGTGACTCTTATACCTTAGCTTGGATTTTTGTCTTGGTAATCAATGTATTAAAATTTCTCCACATGTTACTGTTTGGCAATATTATTGTTCATTTTATCCCCTTAACACTACTAAACCTAAAACCATTTGCTCAGTTCAGTTCAGTTAAGTTATGTAATATACTGAGGTTGAAGTTTGAGTTACAACTGAGTTTGATCAGTCACTTGTGTTTTAACTAATTATATAAATTTCTCTGCATATTTTGGCCACTGAACTTGTTTAAATACATAGTGGAAAATTTGTACTAGTAAAAGCATAATCTGTGATATATTTGTATCAGTTGATATAACTTTCCTGGTTCTGTTCTACTATAAAAGTTGAAGAAAGTTGCATCCACCAGATATTTGTTGAAAAGTCTCTGCCACCATAGTGAAGATAGCCGGAAAGGGTTTGGTTTGGTTATGCACGTCTGCCATAATCCCTTGAGCAGTATAATAAATTGATCATTTAAAACCAATACAATCATTGAAATTTCACGCTATAAATTTATTGGGTATAAATGGATGTAATTCTCTCATATAAGTCAGTTTTGTACCTGATGAATTAGATTTAAAATTTATTTTAAAATATGGTGAATGTTATATTCATCTTATAAACAAATTATGTAGAGATGAATAAGATTTAAAATTCACTTTTAAATATATATAAAACTCATTTTAGTATATATTTTAATAAAATTTGTTATTTATTAAATTAAGTTTATAATATATTTTTAAATCACAATAAGTCAAAGCTAGAAATATGTAGAAATTTAACTTGTTTCACTTCATTATTCTCAATCTTACAAGATATTCTCAAATATATTTACTTTTAAAGAAAAATTTAATATCAACCATTCTTTCATAAATCACGCATTTCCTAACCATGATTTGAATAAATTATTATTATATTTAATTGAGTCTGTAAATTTAAATATTTTTAATTAATTATTTAAATAATTTAAGCCTATGATAATTTGTTGGATTTAAGTGAGTATCTGATCATTTAAAACATATTAATTACATGAGTTAATTAACTTATTTACAAAATTTATTATATGTAAAAAATTTATGATAAAGTAAATTTTGAATGTTTTTATTTTAATTTTTTGAAATAATAATTTTGATATTTGCGTCTTATAAGTAATTATATAAAATTGTGAGAATGAATATTGAGATAGTAGAGAAGAAAAACAATTCAATAAGCCTTTCACTGAATCAGACTCGATTTTCACAAATGTAAGAGATTGAAGTATGATGAATCAATTTAAAGTGAAAAGTTAAGAAAATAAGTGACCAGACACTTTATTCTAAAACTATGTGAATTTATTTTTATTAAAGAGATATCTCTTTCTTATGAAAATGATTTTTTTTATTAACGTAAGAAAATAAGTGAAAGATCCTAGATAAGATGCAAGGCATTGATTTTATACTGAATGAATGAAAAGATGACAACAATTATGATTTGAAGTTTATAAATTATCTTTGAGCATCCGTTATACTTTGGACTTATTTTCATGGTTCATTTTATTTAAATTTATATACATAGGCTTTGTTGTTTTGTAGTGATTTAGAAGAGATGATTTAGAGGAGATGATTTGAATGGATTTGAGTGGATTTTAGGATAATTTTTTGGTTATTTTTTTGAGTGGATTTGTGGATAATTGAGAGTGAATTTGAAAGTAAAATTTGATTGATGTGAAAGTTTTAAAAAATTTGTTTAATTGCTAGAAATTAAAGATTATCAAAATGTCCCTAGTTATTAAAATAATATAAAATGATAATGGTTAATATTATATTTAATTATAAAAATATTTATAAAAAGTAAAAAATTTAAAAAAATTATTAAAATTATTTTTTAAAAAGTAAAAAAATTATAATTTAGTGAAATGAATACTAATAATACATGACATGCTATTAATTATTTTTTTAAAAAAATAAGTTAATTAAAATATTTTTTCAAAAGTTAAAATAGAATTAAAACTTAAAAAAAAAAACTAACTTACCACGGTTAAACTAAAACGGAACCGAGTAATTAGAACTAGAGTAAAGAAAAACATATTAAAAAGAAGGACATTTTATAAATAAGAAAAATAAAGTAATTATTGAAAGAAAAAAGGGTTAGCTTAGAAAAGGGTTTTTTCTAGTGAGTAAGGAAACAAGGTGTAGTGAGAGCAAGGGTTTTTGTTAGGTAATATATGGCGATAGCCGGGCAATGCAGTGTTGACGCAGATGGGGAGCACGGCGGTGGAGAAGACGGAGGAGGTACTCCGCAGCGAGATCGATGAGCTTCTTCGCCAACAACGTGAGGTTTTCTTTCTAATGTTTGTTGATTTTGTAGATTACGGAGAGGCTTCGAGATCCTCGAGGTCTTCGCAACGGTGCCTTGGCGGGCCTCTTCTTCGAACTAATGGTGGTGTTCGCCAAACGCAAGTGCGTCATGAGAGTTGCGAAGAGGAATTGAAAACTGCGATTTTGATTTAAATTGGAATTTCGTTTTGGTTTCAGAAACGCTGAAGTGGTTCGAAGAGGAACCACTTCTTCCTCTCTTCTTCACAGTGATGGCATTTTATAAAAAGATTGAAGGTAAAAAGAACGAACATTTCACCGTTAATCCGCTTAAATCTTCGCAAAACCGCGAAACATGAAAAATTCCTATATCT